TACTTATAAAAATTACAAATTATTATGCTAATAAACTTAAGTGTCAAATTTCGAAATATCTTCTTTACTGTGGATCTTAAGACGCAAACCTTTCCAAGAAGAAACTAATTATAAACCCAATTGTAGTTTGACGTAAGATTTTGCCTAAATGATACATAATGCAGCATTTCAAAGAATTTTTCGAATATTTTGTTCAATGAATATTGTAGATTTAGAAGGACTTATTTGTATAACACCAATAAATTTATACAGGTTATACCTACACCAAGTCTTCCATGAAAATACCATTTTTAGCATAAATTAAAACAATTAAAAATAGTTTTGGTCCTTTTTCAAAATGTAAAGCAATTAAATAAATCATGGCAATCAAATAAAAATTTTAATTAATCCTTTCATTTATGCCAAACAAGTATACAAAATTTTAAAAGTAAAGCAAGCCGAATTAGAGACCATATTTCATACTAATTTAAACTTCCCTTACGGACAGTTCATTCCTCATTAAATCGTCCTTTTAGCATTTTATGCAGCCTTTCATTACCAACGCAGAATCGGAACTTATTGTTTTTGACTTCCATAGACCAGCGTTTCGCAGAAATAAGAATGATATTGGTTAGTGAGCTGTTGACAAGATTCTGTAGCGGATTGCTACTTTATTAAAGCCTGACTGCATTGCATTGTAGCGGATTGCTACGCTAGTAAAGCCTGACCGAAATCTCTATGGCAGATTCTCCAACACCTAGCTAGACTCCCAGAACAGCTAAGCTATAGCTCCACGGATTGCTACGCTAGTAAAGCCTGACTGACTCAGAAATATTGCTACTCTAGTAAAGCCTGACTAACTCAGAAATCTCTGGCTACGCTAGTAAAGCCTGACTGACTCAGAAATCTCAATGGGAGATCCTCCTACATCTAGCTAGACTCCCAGAACCAGCTAAACACCTTAGTAAAGCCTGACTGACTCAGAAATCTCGATGGCAAGATAGTCTCTATGGCAGATTCTCCAACATCTAGCTAGACTCCCGAGAAATCTCTGGCAGATTCTCCTACATCTAGCTAGACTCCCGAACTAGCTAAGCTATAGCCCAGCTATAAAGAAAACAGACGTATAATTCAGCTAAGCTATAGCCCAGCTATAAAGGAAACAGACGTGTTGCGCTAAGCTATAGCCCAGCTATAAAGGAAACAGATGTGTAGCACGGAGCACGTTTATTCAGTTCGAGTATTGCGGATCAAGTGTGTACACACAGGGAGCTACTCATGATCAAGATGGGGGATTAGGTTAAACAGAGGTTGATGATTGGTCACTGTTTGTTAAACAAACAGAGGTTAATGATTGGTCACTGTTTGTATGGGATTAGGTTAAACAGAGGTTGATGATTGGTCATTGTTTGTACGGCCGCACTTCCCAATCCTGGCGAGCAGACATGCAGGCATACGATGACGCACACAGCGATAACGTGTCCCACAAGCAAAATCAATGAAATAGATGAGAAAATATGAAAGAAAGCGCATTGGTTTTTTAGTGGATTCATTTTGCAAAATAATCAATGCTTGAGGGAAAAAAGTACATACTTAATCACTTTCAAAACAATTTGTTCCTTTTTTTAATATTCAATCCCTCCTTAAAAAATTTTCTTTAAAATAAGCATTATGCAATTTCGTACTTCTTGCAAGGAATTAAAATAGCTGTGAATAAAGAGTACCTTTGTAAATTAAATTGTAAACGATTATACAAATTAGTGAAATGTTGAAGACGCAACAATTATAGTACCTATTAAACTGATTGCGTTAAATGTATATAAATTTGACTATTAGCTCGTTAATTAGTGCAGTTTAGCGGTATCATGTACACTTTATGTAAATTAAACTAACAAAAAGGACGAATCACAGAAGTTGACGCATCTTCACAGATTAAATCTAATCAATGAGCAATTGAAAGCATTAATAAATAAAGTTAGCATTAAATATGCTAATAAACTTGGTTACTCTTGTATTGACTTTGCATCTGAAAGATATATGGTTCCATAAATTGAATGTCATTCATAATAATGACACATTTCATCACACACACACCCATCAAAAAGCCAAGGTGCTTCAATAATTTGTTTCACTTTTTGCATAAAACTTTAATTTATTACAAAAAGCAAAATCCGCTAAATGGAGTGCGTGGATTTTTAGGCAAGTCTTAATTAAAATCCTTGCGTCACTTTCTATTTCATTGCCTTTGTTGGAGACATGAAAGATACCTGAAATTTGTATTCACTTTGGCTTAGTTTAACAGTGTTCACATTTCAACGGGACTATTCATCACTTTAATTATTACCTACGACTTAAAGTTTTAAAAATTAAAAGGGATCCATGTAGAGAGAAATGTTTGAAAAATTGGAGATAGAGAAGTAATGTTAGCAAAATTTGCCTTTTATCTGAAGTCAGAAAATAATGAGTTGCCCTATATTTGAAAATAGGGGTGTGCGATAGACTTACCTCCACGTGGTGCACCCTGGGCAACGTAAACTCATACGGCAAAAAATCTATTAATTGGCAGTTGACCTCTGACTTCAAACTACCATGACCCCACGGTATGTCATATCCGACCCCTTGCACAATACTCATCTTAACTTTTCTCTGCCTTTGTGTCTGCCTATCTCTTTTACATCTGTGAATCGCTCTTCTTTTCCCCTGTCAAATTTATCCCACGTAAATGTTCCTCCCTTCTGTGAAGCCCGAAGTCAGCTAAAGGGGGTAATTATAACTATCAAAATGCCTGCCATTTGAAAATAAGAATTGCCTGGATTATATAATCAAGGCTCTATTCAATTTATTTAGAATTTCAATAACTCTGTCAATTGTGAGGAAATAAGAGGTATTTTCACAAATGTAAACTTGCGATATATTAAATGATAAATTAGAATACTTAAAAAGCACTTAGATAATCCACAAGATTAACTCCCGTAAAGGGTTTTAAAAAAAACTTTGTCACCTAAGAGAAGAAGCNGTACTGTGAAAGGGGTCGAATATGACATACAGTGGGGTCATGGTAGTTTGAAGTCAGAAGTCAACTGCCGGTTTCTTTTACTATGGTTGTTTTCTCTTGGACTTATTATCCATTTGCATTTTAAAAGTTCTTGAGATTAAGAAGGGATATCCCGAAGTCGTCCTTATTTAGAACTCTCCTGCATTGTCTCCTGAGGTTGCCCATATACACCATCGGATGTACATTCATGAACATCCACTGAATACACCACCACCAATGCATTTTCAGGCAAAATATTTTTTCACGCTCCTCCTCGATCAGACTGTGAGTTTGATCGATTATTTCCTGTACTTTTTCGGCGTGCGTTTTAATTATCGATTTTATCCAATTAAATTGTAAAATGCTTACAGCTGCTTAACCATCATCCTATTCCCATTGTTTTTGGTTGCTCGTATCAATGATGCACTATTTTTATGTGACTGAGTTTTTTTCTCTTCCTTCCGGGGGGTACATGTTTTCAAATTAATGAGCCTTTTTCATAACTTAAAAATTCCTCAATTCTCTTTTTTCCTTTTCTTCCTTCTCGTGCTGCAAACAATAAGAGCAAATATTTACATTCACAAATTATTTATAGTAAGCCATTGCTTGCGCAACTTGTGAAATGATGGCCAGTTCTTTTATGGCAGATCTCGGTTTTTTATTGCGCATTTCTTATTACTGAATTTTTTTTATTAAAATCAAGAAGTCGTTTTTAAGTAAAATAATGCTAGGGTTTGTGATCCTTTGATGTAATGTGACCATTGAATGCACGAATCAAATGTCACTTGTTGTTTAAAAGAATGCAAACTATTTGTCGGTTATTAAATCTCTTTTAGTTTTTTTTTGGAAATCAAACCCAAATTGCTCTAACTTTTCAATCAATTACTTTAAAGTAAATGATTAAAGAGGGATTTAATGGTGGTTCCATTGCCTCTCTTGTTGAATTTATTAAAAGTCACGAAAAACTTCATATTTATGCCAAAGTGCTATTGGCACACTGTGAAGTTGGGAATCCAATTATCCCAGTGCAAATAGGGAGGATAACTGCGCATATTTTAATTCAATTAAAAAAAATAAGTGAATTGGGCTCTAGGCAATTTAAGCAATTAATTGGGAGTGGTTGTATTCACGGGGAGTTGCAAGCAAACCCTGTTCCCTCTTTGCTTATACAAAAGACTTGGTAATTAATTAAACTAATTGATTTCAAAAATACCCTCCTTTCATTTAATGGGTAGGAGGGATGAAGGGGGGGGGCGTTGCTTAAGAACAATAACAAGTTGGTTATTTTAGTGTGCAGTTATTTTTGGTATCCAATTTTGACGGACTATAAACGGTGTCAGGGCCATGGGGGTTTACTTAAACGGACTTTTCTCCCGTTCCTCTTATAATTATAATTGTAATGGTAATAGTAAAAATAAAAAAAAACAAGCCCATCCGTGTAGGGTTGAAATTTGAGGGGAGAGCCAAGTGGGTGTGCGATAGACTTACCTCCACGTGGTGCACCCTGGAAATATGCCTTCACTATCAACATCTTATTTGGAAGCGGAGGGGTGTGTGCGATAGACTTACCTCCACGTGGTGCACCCTGGGCATCGTATTCTCATATGGCAAAAAATAGTCTATAAACCGGCTGTTGACTTCTGACTTCAAACTACCATCACCCCACTGTATGTCATATTCGACTCCTTCACAGAACTCACCTCACCTTTTTTCTTCCTTTGTTTCTGTCTCTTTTACATCTTTGAAGCACTTTTCTGTCTCCCCCCCCCCTCTCGACCTTTTTCACTTTGATGTTCCTTCCCTCTGTGAAGCCTGAAGTCAACTAAAGGGCTAATGATTACCATCGAAACGCCTGCCATTTGATATAATAATAATAATAAATTTTCTTCCGTTTCTCTTGCAGTCCACCTGTCTACTCGCCAGTTTGTTGCATCTTACTCTCGGCGATCTTTCACTAGATCGAAGAAAGCAGGATTTTCTCACGCACATGCAGAGCATCTTCGAGGAAGCCACGCGGGATAATGCCTCACAACAAAGTGAGCCAAGAAGCGACGAATTCGACCACCAGGAATCTTCGTCGAAGACCCAATCACCGCCTGATCCCACTCATCAACAAATTGTTTCCAGATCATTCTCTCAATCACCGGGCGATTTTCCTCCACTGTCAGGAACTTCTTCATTTACCTCCACTTTGCAAAATCCTCCCTTTATTCCAAGGCCTGAGGATTCTATTCTCTTCAGTATGTCCATACAAATTAGCAATGGAAATAGTATTCTAGAAACTACCCAGACGCTATTTTGATCACCCAGAAACTTAATCCTTTTTTTATTTCTTTTGCCTAATTTAGACTTTCTGTGCATCTAGCTCATTTTTCGTAAACTAAAGTGCACTAATCAGAGCAGTGGAGCTAATTTAAGACTCCAATCAGGTTTGACTTTGAAGGTCTCTTATGATCATCCTAAAATAGGAAAGCCAGGAGTTACCTCGGGCTGTTTAATTTTAAGGCAAATAACTTGGAGTGGTGGGAAAGGAAGTAGGAGCTTGGGGGGGGGGGCTGATCCAGGTTGTTAAAAAGACGGTCTTTTGGGGGTAGGATGGGGGATTTGATAGAATTTGCCTTTCTTTTCAGTTGATGTCGAACCAGTCAAGCTGATCATCTGAGTATTGGGAGTGCCCTAAAGAGGGATGAGCTGACGCGTTGTGTGTGTGCATGATTATTCTTTCTGAAGGTTCCTTAAACGCTTTGAAAATAGCAAAAGTACTCAAACTTTTGACTACCTATTCTCTTTATTCGTCCGATTCATTTTCTGTCTTCCCTTCACTTTCAATGTTTTATTGTAGGTGCATCTAGGTTATTATAACCTGAAACTCTAGAATGCAACCTGTCCTTGGCTGTTTCATTTGCGAATGCCTGTATATCCTTCCCTCTAAATGCTCGTTTTCTAATCTTTGAGTAGTAGGTGGTGGCGGTGGTGGTGGTGGCTACTGTGGCGGTTCAATGTTAGGTCCTTGGTTTAATTCAATTCCAGCAAGAAATGTGAGGGACTGAAAGTTGAAAAATAAATACCTTCCCAGAGAGTGTTTCATTTTCGCATAGCGAAATTGTGATAGTATGTATAGTTGATTTACTAAAGGCTATTGTGTTCGGCAAATTTTATCCCACTGGTATCAATTTTGATAGAATCACTAGCTTTATGTGAGTAATATTTATTTTTAAGTGCAATTTTTATCGTTTGAATTACTTTCTTGCTACCTAATTAACTGGATTCAAGCTCCTGTTTGTTGGTAATCAAATCAGCGAAAATTTTCAATGGGGATGGTCCTCACACTTTTCTCTCCCTTTACGTCACCAACTCAATATTTTACTTTACTAATTGAGGTAAATCATTGTGTTCCCAACAAGCACATCGAGAAAAAAAAACCAATTTCAATATTTATAAATCGGGGTGCGTGATAGACTTACCTCCACGTGGTGCACCCTGGGCAACGTAAACTCATACGGCAAAAAATCTATTAATTGGCAGTTGACCTCTGACTTCAAACTACCATGACCCCACGGTATGTCATATCCGACCCCTTGCACAATACTCATCTTAACTTTTCTCTGCCTTTGTGTCTGCCTATCTCTTTTACATCTGTGAATCGCTCTTCTTTTCCCCTGTCAAATTTATCCCACGTAAATGTTCCTCCCTTCTGTGAAGCCCGAAGTCAGCTAAAGGGGGTAATTATAACTATCAAAATGCCTGCCATTTGAAAATAAGAATTGCCTGGATTATATAATCAAGGCTCTATTCAATTTATTTAGAATTTCAATAACTCTGTCAATTGTGAGGAAATAAGAGGTATTTTCACAAATGTAAACTTGCGATATATTAAATGATAAATTAGAATACTTAAAAAGCACTTAGATAATCCACAAGATTAACTCCCGTAAAGGGTTTTAAAAAAAACTTTGTCACCTAAGAGAAGAAGCTTTTTCAAAAAGTTTTAAAATTTAATTAAATCAAGAAAGGACTTCTCCTCTCTACTATGAAATCATGACAGAAGAGAGTGGGAGAAAACATTAAGGTACTTGTCAAAAGTGTGACGATAAAAGTTTACGAAAAGCAAGTTTAATTACCCTTTCTCTGCATAATGAAAAAGATACAAGACCTCTTTGTTACCTCAAACAGGGGTGAACTGCATGTTTTAAGAAAGCAGATCATGCTCCTTAATGAGTTATATAGAGAATTGGAAAATTTGATAAAGATAAAGCAAGTCTGCGTAAATGTCATTTACAGAGCAGATTATACTTTGGGGCTAACAGAGCTACCAAGGTTGGAAAAAAAAGGAAATGTGCGGACGAACAGCTTCAAAGTTGCGTCTCAGTCGGCAACACATCGTAGTATAATCCAAGGTTTACTTACTTTATCGATTAAGCTCTTTGCCAGCGTCCCGCAAACAAAATTAGGAACTAATCACACTACTCGATCTGTTTCATCGATTTTTTTTGAAGTAGGTCAGACAATTTCTGGAAAAATTGCAACCACGAGGATTGTGCCAGAGGTTAGCAAAATTTGCCTTTTATCTGAAGTCAGAAAATAATGAGTTGCCCTATATTTGAAAATAGCCCATCCGTGTAGGGTTGAAATTTGAGGGGAGAGCCAAGTGGGTGTGCGATAGACTTACCTCCACGTGGTGCACCCTGGAAATATGCCTTCACTATCAACATCTTATTTGGAAGCGGAGGGGTGTGTGCGATAGACTTACCTCCACGTGGTGCACCCTGGACAGCGTGCGATAGACTTACCTCCACGTGGTGCACCCTGGGCAACTTTCAACCCTTGCTGGTTTTCTAAACAATTATTCTTAAGAATACGATAGACTTACCTCGTGGTGCACCCTGGGCAACGTAAACTCATACGGCAAAAAATCTATTAATTGGCAGTTGACCTCTGACTTCAAACTACCATGACCCCACGGTATGTCATATCCGACCCCTTGCACAATACTCATCTTAANGAGGATTGTGCCAGAGGTTAGCAAAATTTGCCTTTTATCTGAAGTCAGAAAATAATGAGTTGCCCTATATTTGAAAATAGGGGTGTGCGATAGACTTACCTCCACGTGGTGCACCCTGGGCAACGTATACTCATACGGCAGAAAAGTCTATTAACCGGCAGTTGACTTCTGACTTCTAACTACTCCCACTGTATGCCATATTCAACCCATTTCACAGTACTCATCCTACCTTTTCTCTGCTCTTTTGTCTGTGTCACATTTGTGAACCATTATTTTGTCCCCCCCCCCTCCTCTCGACTTTTTGTCACTTTGATGTTCCTCCTCCTCTCTGTGAAGCCCGAAGTCAGCTAAATGGCTAATGATAACTATCAAAACGCCTGCCATTTGAAATAAATAATTCCATTTTGAGTTTATTTTAATATTTTACTCGACACTAATGTATGTTCCATCAATCAATCTCGAGTGTACTTAAACTGTTTACGCAAATCTCAAATGCAATGGGAGGGATACTTTACATTTAACATTTGAAATGAGACCAATAACTGGCTTTGTTGCCACAGTAATAAAAATAGGCACAATTTTAAAACTGACATTGGGAGTGGATTAAAGCAACGTTAAAATTCGGGTTGCTTCATCAAATTAGGTTGTGTGCTTAAGATTTCAGTGAATTCACCTCCGAGATGTTCAGGACCCAATTTTATCTCCTTTCAGGAGACTGTGCTATTCCGCAACTCCCCGTGTTCATAAACAATACAGCTGTTTTTGAAAGCTTGTTTGTGGAAGAGAAATTACGTAAGTTAATGGAGGATATAAATTCCCATTTTTTAGTCAATAGGTCCTAGGGAATTTAACGAAATGAATTTTAGAGCTCTGCTTTACGGACTACTGCACTCAGTTCTACGTCCAAACTAACAGCATGTTCCCGCATACTTTGAATGGTTCTGCTTTATCTCCATGCTTTTATCAGCATTCCATTCTAAGGTACATGAAGTTTAAGTGTGATCGCTCTTAACTCCATAATCCTGACTAAATCAAAGAAATGTATAGTGTATAATTCTCGAAGATTCTGTAAATTTCTAAACATATTGCAGATTTAACTTTCACGCAAACGTTTTATTGAGTCAGAAAAGTTTACGCTGATCCCAAAAGAGCATTCATTTTAAAATCACTAAATATTAGTTGAATTTTAAGAAATATTGGTAATTATTTATTTATTTCGTTATATCAAATGGCAGTAGTTTTGATGGTTATCATTAGCTCGTTAGTTGACTTCAGGCTTCACAGAGAGGAAGGAACATAAAAGTGAAAAAGTCGAGACGGGGTGGGGAACAGAAGAGTGTTTCAAAGACGAAGGTAGAAAAAGTTGAAAAAAGGTGAGGTGAGAACTGTGGAAGTAGTCGAATAAGACATACAGTATGGTGATGGTAGTTTGAAGTCAGAAGTCAACTGTCGGTTAATAGACTTTTTTGCCGTATGAGTTTACTTTGCCCAGGATGCACCACGTGGAGGTGAGTCTATCGCACAACCCTTAGGTAATTATTATATCCACCTAAAACAAAGTTACAAAACATACCTAAGGACTGAAATAAGATATTGAAGTGAGGTGAATTTTACAGCTTTAAATGTGCATCAAAGTCGATCAATACTCGGCATTTGGTTAAATAGATTATGTATTGGCAACGAAAAACATTTCGCTTTTAAGGCAACTTTGAATGCATGTAGCCAATTAGCAATTTAGCAATTAACCAAGCTCTTCTCAACAAATTTCAGGTTGCATTTACCTTAACTTAGTTTCTATGTATAATTGGCATGTTATCTTTTACCAGATAAATTACCACTTAATATAAACGCGTTATTTAAAGCATAAAAACCCCGTTCTGTAAAAGTCTTTTTTGGATTAGTTCCAATCCATTTATTCTGGTTGATAGGAGATAGGAAGGTTTGTCTCAAGTGACAAATCTACTCAATTATTGTTATATATATATATCTTATCATTAATATATATATATATATATAAAGTTCTCAAAATACCGCAGTACACTGCGTTGCAAAGAGGAGTTGAACCAAAATGAAGATTTCCTCACTAGGAGTTCGCGAGATTTGCTTTTCTCTGCAAGGTTGGCATGAAACATTTAAGTAGGTATTTACTGAATTATATTTTTGATATAAATGTTTGGGTTTATATAGCCAACGATCATCATTGAAAATAGCTGTATCCTGCAATATTCTAAAAATTCAACTTACAGATACTGCCTACAGCATTCAGAGATTTTGTTACATATCTTTCAACAGTATTGGATAGGTTTATGAGATCTGCATCAACAGCATACTACTTTCAAAGTCTCCTGCAGAGCTATTGTTATCTCCCTTTCAGATATTTCCTCGTGATTAGAGATTGTGTTCACAAAACTTCACACTGCCTTGAGCAATTTTTGCCTCTAATGCAATCAAATATGTACAATTCTGAAGTTACTCCAATTGTCATATCGATTTCTATACAGAAATTGCATTCAGACCTCACTGTCATTATTGGAAAACTTGAATTATTTTATCACATAAACTAAATGCATTTAAAATTTATTGATTGATTTTTTAAGATGCATTAGATTTTAATTGTGTTATTCCAATTTTAATAATCTGTGTGCGAGGGGGATGAGGGTGGGAAGAAATCAGAGTTAGCTCAAAATTAACTGCCATTCCGATAAAACTATTACCAACTGAAGGGAAATTTAAGCGCACTTTTCCGATTAACTAGTATCATCATTTAAGATTAAATCTGGCACCCCCAATAATGGAACTTAGTCGTCCCTTGTGATAGCTTGATCATTTCTGTTCTGTTAAATTACTTTGCCTTATCCAAGTTGTCAAATTCAGGGAATAAACCTCTATATGATGTGTCGTAATTCTCAAATTTTAAACTAGTATTCCAGTCTCTCGATGTCTTTCTTTGTTCCACCTGTCTACCACAAGGCGTCCATTGCTAGGCCCTTGTTATACAATCAAATTAAGTTAAAGTATTGCAGAAAATCCAGGTTAATCGATTGGTAA